GCTTCTGGAGTGTCCACTCCCCCTCCCAGGACGTGCCCCCCCCGGGGGGCCCGGAGCTGGCTAGAGGAGGGGCCAGAGGGAGTCTGTGTGGGCAGAAGAGCCAGGAAGCTGGATTTTAATTGATTCACCACAGCCTTTCCAGGCCTGCTGTTCTCCAGATGCATAGGATTTGCAGCTCCCAGCAGGTCTAGAAGGCACCGGGTCGGGGGGCGGAGATGCAGCGGTTCTCGCCCAGGCTTCCTCCAGGAACTCTCAGTGGCTTGCTGGCTTTCCCTCCACTGCTCCCCCAGACATTGTTGCAGGAAACTCACAATGTCTTGCTTTTGGACAGGGCTCCTGACAACCTGGCAAATTAAAATGCTCATATAAATCAGTTTGGGAAAGTGGGCGTGTCATTTCCTCTGAACACAGACACAATCACCAATGTTTTATTATGGTAAAAAAAAACACACATACCCAGTGGAAAATAGACCCTCCTGGTTCTTCTGATGACCTGTGGAAGTCCAAGGAACTCAAATTGCAGTTGAACCACAGGAGAATTCTTCTCTCCCACCTTAGGTGAAGGAGGGATAATTAACAGTTGGTGATAAAGCCATAACTTTTTAGTTCCCTTAAAAACAGGACCATGACATCTGACAAGAGTATCGCCAACATGAGATCTACATATGGCCAGATTTTAATGTATAACTAAGGAATTTCATCTGTTTTCCCAAAATAATGGAGCTTCTCTTCTAGAATCTGATTTTTTGCAAGCCTGTATTATAACTTTTTTTTGCCAGTTTAAATTTTATAAAAGCATCAGGGTGGTAAACAGCTTCTGTAAAATGAGAGCCTAGTAAATTATATACCTTAAGTTATGTATCTTAAGTATCAATTTGTTAGAAATATTTGGCTTACCAGTATAAAAGCAGAAATAAAATAAAAACAGTATCAAGTGCCATTTCTGTTGTAATGTAAACCTTTCACTGTTCTAAAATTACAAAATGGTGCATATATTTAACTGAGATACATAACTTAAGTGATGTATTTACGTGATTTGGCAGCAGTTTTTGATGTGTAAGTTCCCATTTTCTAATCATTCCAATATCACAGAATGCTGGTTGATTGGTTACACGCTGGCTGTAGTCATAACACAATGGGCCATAGGTTCTGGAATTACCCCAGTTCCATGGATTCCCTTAAATAAATTGCCCTTTTTAATTTTTTCAAAGCCTTTGAGATAAGTGCTTGGCCTGATAAGTTTGCATGAAAACTATCTGTGCAGTGGCTGTAAGAGTAACATTAGGATAGCCAAGAACTGGGGTGGTCCCTTGCGGGCTGCTGTCCCGTTTTAGGGTGAAGGCAAAAGGAGATGACTTAAGTACAGCTGGATTCAGATTCAAAGAATGTGAAAAGTAGTAAACTCTTGTGCAACTAGCCTCAAAGCTTGAGAGATTTCTCTGAGCTGTTGCTTCACTTTGCAAATTGCCTGGGGCTAACCTTGGTGGCCCCAGGGGTGCAGTGTCGCTCCCTCACATCTTTTGGCCCTGAGATGATACTGCCTAAGAGTGGTCTTTTGGGGGACCAAGGGCATGTGACACAACACAGGGGAATGAGACAAGATCCAGAGAACGTCTGTGCGGGGGGGAAGGACGCGGCCGTGACTCACCGTGTGCTAAAATGGTACCTCTTAGTCTCCCCCATCGCCATGGGTCTCGAAATATGGGGATTGCCTTCGGATTGCAAGAATAAGAGGGAAGAAAACTCTCCCTCGCGCTTCTGTTCTTTGTGTTTCTGTGAGCACCGATGGGAAAAAGGTACAGACCAAATTAGCGGTGAGATCTCAGGCCAGGCCAAAGGAAGTTACACAATCAGAGGAAGAAGCTGCTGGCCGAACTCGTCCGTCCAGGCTGGGGTGGAGAGGCTGTCCCCGAGGGCCAGCTGGATTTAGGGCGGCCCACCTCCCCTTTCGGGTGGCAGCGGAAAACAAGGCCGAATCGAAGGGCTTGGCATTTTCAAAGCTTGTCTCCAACCCTTCTCCCCTTGAGGCTGACCCGCCTCCAGACTCTTGTTTCTGTTCGGCACAGCACGAGCCAAAACCCGGCTCTGGACAAGAGGCGCCAGTTTGTGGGTTTCTCTCTGCGCAGCATACGGTGAGTAGACAGCCTGCCGTTCGGCCCTTGGCAATGTCTTTGTCTCGTTTTCGTCCCCCTTTGCGCAGGCACCCCTTCGCTCTCACGTCTTTGGAGCCCAGCTGCCTGTGGAAGAGAACATGATTCTGCTTGTTGCTGAGTCCAAGGCCTTTTGTGGGGGGCGGGGGGACCTAACTCTCTCCTGGAAAATACTTCATTCGGGTGCTCCCCATTTCACGTGGCAGCCTGTTCCGCCGGCTGAGAGAGGCACCTTCTGATATCTAGCCGGACCCTCCGTTCACCCGCGGACCCTCCTGCCCTCTGGGGCAACAGAGAATAAGCCCACCCCCTCTTCTGCGTGACACCCTTCGGAGGTCTGAAGGCTGCTATCATGTCGCCCCCTCAGGCTTCCCTTCTGATGGCTGAACGTACCCGGGCCCTCTAATCGTGCCTCATAGGCCTCGGTCTCCCGACCGCTCTCCGTCTCGGTCGCCGTCCTCCTCTGAACTGGCTCCAGCGTGTTGCTGTCCTGTTCGAACTGGAGGCCCAGAACCGGACCCAGGACCCCAAGTGGGGTCTGAGCAGGGCAGACTGGAAGGGGACCACTGCTTCCCGTGGCCTGGACTCTGCGCTCCCATTAACGCCCCCTAAGATGGCATTGGCTCTGTTGGCAGCTGCGTCACCCTGCTGGCTCGTGGTTCGCGCAGGATCAACCAGGGTACCCAGGCCCCTTTCACAGGCGGCGCTGCCGAGCTGGGTCTCCCCATCCCGTACTTGGGCTTTTCTTTTTCCCACTGGCCTTTCTCCCGGCCGTCCCGTCCCGTCATTGCTCAAGCCTCCCCCCCCACTTATTGGCCCTTCCCGGCTTGGTGCACCCGCAGACCAGAAGCGCCTC